TGGTTACAAATCTGGCTGAGTGTCAGCTCCCTCCTCTGTTTGATGAAGGGATTATCCGTCTCTATCAGGGATGCTGGGAAATGAAATGGGAACAGAGATGTAAAGGGTCAGCATAGAGCCTTCACCTTCCCTGCACTGGGACCAGTGACAATAGCCTGGCATTATTCACAGGACATTCCTGAGGGTGGACAGGGCTAGGAGGGGAAGTACAGAACTTCCCTTTCCCTCAGCCTCTCCTGCCCGGTAGACCTGAGCCCTTCCCAGCACATCTGATACCTTGACCCTCCTGACTTCAAACACAAGGTCCCTGTGCTATGTTATCAGGCCCCCCTACAGAGCTGCAGACATCTCCAAAGTCAGCACTTAGCTCTGATTCAGCACCACGGACAGCACCATGGTCTTTTCCCAGGGATACCCAGGAGCCAGGGAAGTACTCGACAGACAGAAGGGGTGCCCCCTATGGGTGGTGGCCTGAGCCCTGCTGAAGCAGAGGTGGGGTTGATCACAAACAGAGCACAGAACTTGGTAGCTGGCAGAGGATCTCCAGCACAGTGGGGGAGTGAGTGGGATTGAGAACATAATACCTGAGAGTCAAAGAATTCCCAGAGTACCAGGGTCACATGTGGAATTGACATCCCTCGTGACTGCCTGAGAGTTTTTACCATGTCTACTTTGCCCAGTCCTCCCTGAGACTCACCTTCCAGTCCAGAAGAGCAAGAGCCCATCCCACATCAGGTGGGCTTCACTCCTCAGACCCATCTATCCTATGGCACTGGTATTGTCAGGTTACCTGTCTGTCCCAACCACTTGTTCTCCTCAAAGGCAAGGGCTAGGTCTGTCATTTCACCCCTTTCCTGGAAAACTGAAGGCACAGTGCACATCGTTGTTTGATGAATGAATGATTAAATGAATGAAATTTCCTCCCTCACCTCATGGGATGAGTTGACAATTCTTCCCTTTCCGATTAAGTAAGCTTCCTGCCTTCCAGCCCAATGAAACTTGGGCAGACACAAATTGCTGAAGTGGGTTCCAGTATAATCAATGGCACATAATACATGGCAGCTGTGTGATTCAGCCCATTCATTTGTCCACTCTGGTCATCCTTGCCTTCTTCTGCAAACTGGAGAACTGGGACTAGAAGGTCCTCCAGCTCTGATGGTCTGTCGGTCCTAGTTCCTCCTTTGCACACAGATTCTCTGCGGCTTCCTCATGTCTCTCCTTCCCCTTCTGCTTTTCTTTGCAAATTGGGGACCATGGGAAACAGGCAGAGCATGGGCAAGCCTTTCTGATAACAGATACTGCAACTGTGCAGGCAGGGAGAGAGTGTGTGGCCAGGAGAAGGGGGCCCAGCTGGGGGATGGGGCTGCAGGCTGAGATTCCAGCTGAAAATGCAGGTAATTGTGATGGTGTGGGAGAACCTATGCAGGCTGAAACCCTGCACCTTCCTTCTCCATGATCACAGCACTGTCTGTACTCTTGGTTTTCGGTGATAGTTCTGGGTAAGGGATAATATAGCATGGACAGATTCATGAAGTTCAATAGAGGAAAACAAACTGTAATTTTTTCTATGTATACAAGTCTTAAGAACAGCGTGTGCAAAGCCATGGTATTAAAGGCAGCATGCTTGCATGATAAACCTATAGATAAAATCAAGGAATAAGGTAGCATTACAGTGAGGCTGGGGCCCCTTGGGTAGAGTGGGGTGTGGGGATACAGAGGGGGACCAAGGTGGAGGTCCTGGGTGCTCCCAACATTATATTTCTTGAAAGGCATTCATTTTTGGTGAATCGCTGAGCTGTTCTTTTGGGGACACTTCTCTGTATGTCTTATGTTTCGCCCAAAAATATTTCAAGAAAATCGACATGGGTCTGAGGAGGCAGCACCTTCTAGGATCCCACCACTTCCACTCCGCCCCCACCACACAGTTAAAAATAACCTTCTGTGAATTCAGGTGTGTGTCTCTTCCCTCAGGAAGTCCTCACCACCCCTGAGAGTTGACGACCCCCAGGCTAACGTTATTCGCTATGTGGCCTCTACACGTGTCTCCATGTCTTCCTATCACAGGGAGGCTCTGGTGCCGGGATACCAATTGTCTCCCCAATGGACTGTGACTCTTATGGCAGCATCCAGGGCTGGTGTGTGACCTCATGAGCAAGAGAAGATGCCCATCACATGGATGCTGAGGGAGGGATGACAACTGGCTACCTTCATCTCCTTTGTCCCTGAGTTGCACACCTGACTGGATTGAACTCCAGAAATATCTATAGGCTTGAAATAGGAGATCTGATTAGAAGAGACACATTTTTACTTTACAGAAAATGTACTCCTGAGGAGAAAGACATCAAATGAAAGGCCAGAGATGAGACTCACGCCCTGCCTGAGGTGTGAATGTGGGTGAGGATCTCACCCTCTCTGGCCCAGGGTCCCCAGGAGTGGACTTGGAGGGGTGGTGTATGGTTGACTCCATGAGCTGTCCTAGCCCCAGCTCTGTCTGGCTGTGAAGTTCCTCCCCTGAGGACGGTCACTGCTCTGACCTCACCCTCATCTTCTGGTAAGAGCCTCCTCTAAATCTGCAACTTTTAGTTCCTGATAGAGAAGGCTGAGAAACAGACTTTCCCTGGAGGAACCTGAGACTGCCAACCCCAGATATGCTGCTGCTGCTGCTGCTGGCCCTGCTCTGGTGGAGGAAGGGGGCTGAGGGCCAGAGGGAGCCCTCAAAAAATTACAAGGGCTACAAGCCGCCAGTGCAAGAGTCAGTGATGGTGCAGGAGGGTCTGTGTGTGCGAGTGCCCTGCACTGTCTCCTACCCTCGGGATCGCTGGACTACTTCTACCCCAGCTCATGGCTACTGGTTCCGGGAAGGGGCCAAGACAGACAAAGACGTTCCAGTGGCCGCAAACAACCCAGATCGTAAAGTACAGGAGGAGACCCAGGGCCGATTCCACCTCCTTTGGGACTCCCGGACCTCCAACTGCTCCCTGGACATCAGAGACGCCAGGAGGAGTGACAATGGAAGATACTTTTTTTAGGTGGAGAGAGGAAGAACCAAAAATACTTACAAAGACAAGCCTGTCTCTGTGCGTGTGATGGGTAAGTAGGGGGCTCCAGGAAGGACCACAGGGGAAGCACACCGGAGTCCCAGGACGTGACTGGGATTAAGTCTCTGCTCCTGGTTGGGGTTGGGGGATACAGCGGGTCAGAGTTTAGAAGCAGGAGCTAGACTGAAGACTGAGTCTACTCTCATCGCTGCACCTCAGACCCTCCCTACTGATTCTCATGTCTCTATCTCTCCCACCAGCCCTCACCCAGACACCTGACATCCTCATCTCGGGGACCCTGGCGTCTGGCCACCCCAGGAACCTGACGTGCTCTGTGCCGTGGGGCTGTGAGCGGGGCACACCCCCCATCTTCTCCTGCATCCTTCCTCTTTTGATCTCTTTTTCACTCTGACCTTCTGTCTCTTCTTCTCCAGCACCCACAATCCTGAAGAATGGCTCATCTCTTGCAGTCCTGGAGGGCCAGTCCTTGCGCCTGGTCTGTGTTGTCGCCAGCAATCCCCCAGCCAGGCTGAGCTGGGACCCTGGGAGCCAGACCCTAAGCCCCTCACAGTTCTCAAACCCTGGGGTCCTGGAGCTGCCCCAGGTGGAGTCGGGACATGAGGGTGAATTAACCTGCCAAGCTCAGCACCCTCGGGGCTCCCTGCAAGTCTCCCTGAGCCTCTCTCTGCAGAGTGAGTGCACCGGTTTCCAGGGGGAGGGGCCGGAGGAGGAGAAAAGCACTCACTCCACCCCACAGTCCACCCAGCAGCCCCCTGAGCTTCAGAGGGGAACTCAGCTCTGCTCTGTGCTGGGTTGTGAGGCCTGGAAATTCCCTAGGACTCAGAAGGTCACTGTCGTCTTCCTGCCAGGACAGGGCTGTGGGGTGGGGCGAGGTCTGGAGGAGGAGCCAGGGAAGGAGGTGGGTATTGAAGGACAGGGGCTGGAGCCTGAACAGGTGTGTCTGGGGACATAAGGTCCTTGCTTTTTGGGGATGGGAGGAGGTTCAGGTGAGTGTAGGACTTACCATGGCCAGAAAATTTAAAGATAAGCCAAAAAAAATCTTAGTAATCAAAAGAAAGAATACTGAAATGCAATATTTTTTAAAAAAATAAACATAAAATAAATTCTATCAAGTACAAAATATCAATATCTTATTAAAGACAGGCTTCAACCCAGCACTTGTATGCCTCAGTCTCCTCATCGTAACCCCACCACCCCGTACCCCCCATCCCCATGTCCCTGTTTCTGTTTCTGGCAAAGTGGACTGCACACAGAAATGTGGGGTCCTACAGGGAGTGCGAGGAGAAGAAATGGAGCTCTCGGAGGAGAAACACCAATAATCCAATCCTCTGCAGGAAAAGTGTGTCCTTTATCAGGAGTGGCGCTGGGTGCAGTCTGGGGGGCAGGTGATAAGACTCTGCTCTTTCTGTCCTTCTGCATCATCGTCATCATGTGAGCAGGGACCTGGGGAGGGAGGGAGAGCTCTGGGGTGGGAAGGGCAGGCAGCCCCGGATCCTTGAAGCAAGGCTGTGGGACTGGGTGGGTCCAGAGCCTGAAGCAAGGGCAGGAAGGAGACCCCTGGCACCCAGGTGATTCTGTCAGAAAACCCGGGCCACACTGTCCGGGAAGGGGGAGCCTGTTCTCAACTCTGGGGTCTCTGGGACGCGACCACCCCTCTTCCATCTCAGTCTCCCGTCCAGCCGCTTAGGAGAGAGCAGAGGAGGGGTCAGTCTGCCCACTGTATCCTGAGCTGGCCAGACTAAAAGTCTCTCTGGTCTCTTCACTCAGAGTGAGGTCCCGCAGGAAGAAAGCAGCAAGGCCAGCGGTGGGCATGAAGGACACAAGCATGGAGGGTGCAAATGCAGTCACAAGGTAAGTCTTTCAGTGAGTGACCTGTGTAACTCGCCATCCAGCATCTTGCCTGGACGCCTCTGCCAGGATGGCTCCCTGAATTGCTCTGCTCATCATGTCCAAAGTTGTTCTCCTCGTCTCCTCCTCCTCCCCCAGGGTTTGATCCCCGTCTCACTGACAGCAGGACAGCCCCTTCTCTTTCCTTCAGGCTAGGATCAGAGGAGTCACCTTCTCTCTGTCCTTCCTTTCTTCTGCTACGGCCAAAAACTCACCTCGTCTTTTCCGTGTTTCCCTTAAGAACAGGTAGCATCAGTCTCCCTCCCTCCTTTTTGACCCCTGTCATTGCTGAGGCTTCAGGATCTCTTTTCTGGACCCCTCATCTCCCTGCCCTTCATCTCCCTTGCTCTACACAGAGTGATCACCTAAAAATCATCATTGTGCAGTTCCTCTGTATTTGAACATCTGTTTTCCCCCATCACCTAGAGCAGAGGCCAGCAGAGTTTTTCTTTCAAGGGCCAGAGAGTAAATGACTTTGGCTTTGTGGGCCATGCAGTCTGTGTTGCAGCCACAAAACTTTGCTATTGCAGCGTGAAAGCAGCCTCAGACCATATGTAAATGCATGAGCATGGCTGTGTTCCAGTAAAACTTTATTAGAAACACAGGTATGGGGCCAGATTTGACTCATGGGCTGTAGTTTGCTGACCCCTGACCTAGAGAATGAAGCTCACACTCCTCAGCCTGCAGCCCTGCATATTCTGGCCTCTCAGCACCAACCTCTCCAGAAGGGCCAGGGTTAGGGTGAGGAGGGTGACACACTTGCCGCAAGTGCAAATCTTAGAAAGGTGCCAAAAATCTCAGCAATTGAGATAATTCTTCAATGCACTGTTTATTAAAAAACAAAATTAATGAAAAAATTTCATGAGGAGCAAAATATAAAAAATCTGAACAATGGTAGGATCTGTAGACTGAAGTTAGTTAACAATAATTTAAGATCATGTCTTGGTCAAGAGAAATTGTCACACATGGCAGTGTTCTCAGCTGAAAACCAGAGAGCAGAGAAGGAGATTTTGAAAATATTCTCTCTGCATTTGTTTCCAGTAAGGCCAGGAAACCAAAATTATAACAAATTCTGATTTGGGTAGCCATAAAACCTTTAAACTCAATGTTCAAATACACTGTGCCTTTCAGGTTTTCGATAATATTTCAATTATTTTAATGTTCTGGAAAAAGTTGACCACTAAAATCCTTAAAAACCTATGTAGAGAGGGACACATTTTTCTTCTGTCTCTTGGTCCAATAGGTTCAGAAATGCATTCTTAGTAATCCTGGGTTATTTAAATTTTTGATTTTCCCATCTCCATTGTATTTTTTTTGCATTTAATTGAATTAAAAAATCTGGCATGAGAACATTATTTATCTCAATTACAGAGGTTTTCAGCTCCCCTTTTAAATTTGCGTTTTGGGCGAATCCCTCACTTGCCTCACCCTGACCCCAGCCCCACTGTCCAGTCCACTTCCTCCACTCCCCCCACCGCCCACTCTGCTCCATCCACCCTGGACTTTTCATCAGCATCAGTCAGAAGAATGTTACTTGTGCCTCTGGGTTTCCACATGGGCTGTTCCTCCTCTAATGCTCTTCACTCCCCATTTCCACTCATTCATTCCTGTTCATCCTCCACGCTCCGATAGACATGTCACACTTTTCACTTATTTATTGCATTCAGAATATGACTGGGCACTTTTGGAAGGTTTTGACAGCAGGGTAACGGGCATCTTTTCATTCATCAATTCCTCCAGGAAATGTTATTGAGCACCTACCAAGTGACGAGCACTGTAGGTGGCAGAGACCCATCATGAAAAATATCTAAAATCTTGGCTCAATGAAGTTGTTTTCTAGACAGAGGATGATAATCAAACTAGTAAAACAAAAAACAAGCAAACAACAAATAAGTGAATAGAATGTGCAAGGTAGACGTGTGCTTTGGGGAAAACGTAGGGTACAGAGAAGAGGGAGAGTTGGGGGATGGCTTGTGGAGTGCTCTTGGGATTTATTTATTTCTTGTAGTGAAAATTTCATCACAAATTCATCGTCATAAGGATTCTTCAGTGTACAGTTGTTCAACAGATCTCTAGAACATTTCCATCTTGCAAAACTGAAACTCTGCACCCATTGACTACTCACTTCCCCTGCCATTCCAGCCCTTGCTGCCACCATTCTACTTTCTGTCTCCATGGGTTTGACTACTCTAGACACCCCATATTAGTGGAATAATGCAGTATTTGTCTTTTTGTGACTGGTTTATTGCACTTAGAATACTGTCCTCAAGGTTCATCTATGTTGTAGTATGTGACAGGATTTCCTTCGTTTTAAGGCTGAATAATATCCCATTCTATATATACACCACATTTTCTTTATCCATCCATCTGTCACTGGATATTTGAGTAGCTTCCACTTCTTGACTACTGTGAATAATGCTGCAGTGAACATGAGTGTGCAAATGTCTCTTGGAGATTCTGCTTTGAGTTCATTTGGATAAATACACCTAAGTGGAATTGCTGGATGATACGGCAATTCCATTTTTAATATTTTGAGAAACCTCTGTACTGTTTTCCATAGTGGCTGCACCATTTTACATTCCCAGCAGCAGTGCACAAGGGTTCAAATTTCTCTGTATCGTCACCAACACTTGTTCTTTTTTTTTTATAGTTGTTATTCTAATGTGTGTGAGGTGATATCTCATTGTAGTTCTGATTTGCACTTCTCCAGTGATTAGTGACGTTGAGCATCTTTCCAAAAGTTTATTGGCCATTTGTATATATTCTTTGGTGAAATGTCTAATTCCAGTTGTGTGCTCATTTGTTAACAGGTTTATTTTTGTGGTTGTTGTTGATTTGTGGGAGTTCTTTATATATTCTGGATGTCAACCCCTTATCTGTTACATGATTTGCAGATATTCTCTCCCATTCCGTAGGTTGGCTTGGGGTTTTGTTAGTGATGTTTGTGCAAAGGCATGAAGGAGGCTCAAGAGTTTTCAATTTGACTGTGTGATCCAAGAGCCCACCAGGCAGAGGGAACAGCAGGTGAAAACATTCAGACACAGGAGGGTGACCAGTGAGTGAGGAGCGGCAAGAAAGTCCGTGTGATCAGACAGAGGGAGGCAGGGCCAACAAGCAGGAAATGAGTTTGGGGAAGTCAGCGTGTGTGTACATCACGCCTGCACACAGGACACTGTGGGCATGTGGAGACTTTTGGGCAGAAGAGAAACCTCATCCCACTTTCATTTTCACAGGATCCCTCTGGCTGCTGTGCACAGAGAGACTGTGTGTGTCAGGGATGTTAGAAAGGGGGCTGGTGAAACATTCTAGGCAGGAGATGATGGTGGCTGGAGCCAGGATGGCATGAGGGTGGGGCCTGATAGCATTCTGGGTGAATTCTGAAGTTAAGGCTGCTGAGAGTTGTTACTGGATTGGGAGTGCGGTATGAGTGACAGAAAGGGGTCAAGGATGACTCCTAGATTTCTGCACTGAGCAGCCGGAAAAATGGAGGCACCAATCACTGAGGTGGAGATGATTGGAGGAAGAGATTTGGGGGAGCAAAGGAGAAGTTCAGTCTGAATATGTTGAGTTTTCTGTTTGTTTTGACCGGGAATGGGCATTTCAAGTATACCTTTGGACCAAAGTCTTTCCAGAGAGGAGAAGGATCTGGGGTTACGGATTTGGGAGTCATCAGCCTTTACACGAGATGAAGCCAATGTAGTGGATGAGGTCACGAAACAAAGTTGAAGGAGGAAAGAGACCGGGGCTGCTCTGATATTTAGGGACAGGGAGGTGGGGAGCATCCAGCAAGGGGGCTTGCAGCGAGGTCAATGGACCCAGAAAGTGTGATGTCTTGTAATTAAGTCTAAAGGGGCTTTCCTTTAGGGCAGGTGTGCAGTCGGGTCACCTGCTGCTGCAAAGTCCAGAGAGGTGAGGACTGAAAGATGGCTATTTGGATTTCACCAGCAGAGGTCACTGGTGTGCCTGATAACAGCAGTTTCGGGAAGTGTGTGTGTGTGTGTGTGTGTGTGTGTGTGAATCTTAATTTGAATATTGAAGAGAATGAGAGGGGCAAAAATATTAACAATTCTGATGAAGTGTTCTCTTGCCAAGAGGTGCAGCAAAGAAGGATGCTCCTCAGGCAGCTCCTGTCACTCTCCTCCATGAGTCTGTGTTACTTTCTTGCTGCTGCTGTGATGAATCACCACAAATTCAGTGGCTTCCAACAACATAAATTTATTATCTTACAGTTCTGGAGGTCACAAGTTCAAAATGGGTTTCACTGGGCTAAAAGGAAGGCGTTGGCAGGCATGGCTGAGAGTCCTCTGGAGGCTCCAAGGGAAAATGCGTTTTCTTCCTTTTTCTAGCCTCTAGATGGCGCCTGCTTTCCTTAGTTCGTGGCCCCTTCCTCCATCTTCAAGGCCAGAAGCACAGTGTCTTCAAATCTCTCTCTGCCTCCTTTCACATGTAAAGACCTTTTTGAATACATTAGGCCCTCTCAAATAAGCCAGGAGAATGTCCCCATCTCCATATCCTTCACTTAATTCCTTCTGCAAAGTCCCTATTCATTATGTAATCTAACACATTCACAGGTTCCTAGGGATTAGGGGTTGGACATCACCTTGGACAGCCACCTTTGGGGTGCTGTTATTCTGCCTACCACAGGGACATAATTTCTTTGACTAACTTGTCCTCTCACCAAACTTCGAGATTCCCAATGTCAGGTGCCATGCCTGAATCAAGGCCCTATAATACTCTCTCGCTTACCCAGTTCCTGTCCAACATATAATAATTCACTATTAGGTATTTATTTGCTTAACTCATATTTTGCTGCCTCCTTCAATTAAAGAGTAAGCTGCAAGAAGTCAGGGTCTGTGTGTGCTGTGTCCACCACAGAACATCCAGCACCCATCTCAGGGCCTCGCACACAGGGGTCCTCCGGCTTCATCGTCAGGAAGAACTAGATTGGATCCTGGTTTCATCAGGGATGTTTTTTTGGTGAGGAAGATTAGCCCTGAGCTAACATCTGATGTCAAGTCTCCTCTTTTTGCTGAAGAAGATAGGGCCTGGGCTAACGTCTGTGTCCAGCTTCCTCTACTTTATATGTGGGACGCCAGACACAGCATGGCTTGATAAGCAGTGTGTAGGTCCGTGCCATGGATCTGAAACTGCTAACCCAGCGCTGCCAAGCAGAGTGCACGGATTTAACCGCGATGCCACCAGGCTGGCCCCTTCCTCAGGGACTTTGAGCATGCTGCTTACTTTGATCATTGCCGTTTTCATATGTATAAAATGAAGACAATGATAATATCTTCCTTATGGGGTTGTTGTGGGAAGTTCATGAGATTAGCAAACACCAAATAACGTGTTCTCTAAATATTAAATATTCAAGGAAAGCAGAAAGGAAGGAGATGTCAAGAAAAATGTATATGGGATGAATGGATGAAGGAATACATGGGTTTCTCCCCTGGACACTTGCTGTCTTATCCTGGCCTTACTCTTCTCCTCTGACTCCCTTCTCTCTCCCACCGTTCAGGGTCCCCTGATTGAATCCAGGAGAGCAGCATCCCAGACCACTCTCACCAAGATGTGGCGGTCCTCTGCTCAGGGGAAGAAGAACAGCTCCATTGTGCATCCCTCAGCTTTCATGGGATGCAGCCTTGGGATCCACAGGAACAGGAGGCCGCTGCTAGTGAGAACTCAGAGATCAAGATCCACAAGTGAGAAACTGCAGAGACTCAACTCTGGCTTGAGAGATCACAGCCCCTATGCAGCAAAGACAAAGTCAGGGGCTGATTGCCCCTGACTTAGAGTTAAAAATGCCTGTAATAGTGTAAAGAACACAGACTTTGGAACCAAAGAGTTCGAGTGTGTATCCACGCTACCTCTTTACAAAGTAAGTGACAGACTGACTCCTACCTCTCTGTCCCTCAGTTTCCTACTCTGTGAAACAGGGGTGGGAAGCCCTATCTGCAAGTTCATAATGAGAATTCTGGGAGTAAAATCCTATCAGAGCACATGCCACATTCAGAATACACATGCTGGGTCACCGTGCTTTGGACAGAAAGGTCCTTCTGGGAATTTCTCTTGACTCTGGAGGGGACCAGCGTGAGACCTCAGACCTTGCACACTGAGATCTCTCCACCTGCAATGTCTACACACCGGGCCATCATCTGCCTGTGTCTTTGAAAGCTGAGCCCAAGAGGTGGACATTTGCATTGCGATGGGTCAGTCAAGCAGCAGCTCATGTTCGCCCCCTATAGAGACAAACTCAGTGAATGAGAAAGGTTTCAAACGATCACATTACCTTCTGATGAATGAAGCAAATGATCCCAAAATTGTCCTTCAGCACCCACACGAAGACTGGACTATATCTCAGCAGTCACTTCATAAAGTAGTCTTTTTGGAAAGAAATCAAAGATTGGGTGAAGCACGAAAAATTCCCTACCAAAGTACCCCAACAAATTTATAATAGCACCAAAAAAGCATACGGGACCGAGGAACAATTTTTTATTTAAACATGAAATACTTGTGCACTGAAAAATACAGAACATTGCTGAGGGAAGTTAAAGAAGATCCAAAAGAATGAAGAGATATACCATGTTCATGGGTGGAGACAAATCCAGTGAATGAGAAAGAATCTTTACAATATTGTTAAGATGTCACATTTCTCCATATTGATTTGTGTGTGTGTGTGTGTGTGTGTGTGTGTGTGTGAGAAGGGGATTCTAAAATATATATGGAAATGTAAATATCTGGAAAAGGAAAACAGTCTAAAAAAGGAAGACCACAGTTGGAGACATCAGACTTTACTATGAAGTAGAGTCATCAAGAGAGTGTGGTGTGGACAGAACAGAGTCCATAAATAGATGCACACATTATACACGGTCCACTGAACAGTATCTAGTCTATTCACTTTGGAAAGAAAGGACATTTCAACCAATGTGGTAGAAAAAGTGGATCAATGTTTGGGAAAAATGAACTTTTTAAATATTATAATTGATTTATATAATTAGGATCATGTAGTATGTACTCAAGTGGCTTTTTCACTCAGTAATGAGTTTTTTGAGATTCATCCATTGTGTGCGTGTATCAGCACTTTGTTCCTTCATTGCTGAGTAGGTTTCCAGTGTATCACAGTTTGT